AAGATTATTCAGTGATGCACACGCCAATATTGAGTTCACTATGGAACATGAAAGTGACGGAAAGTTCCACTTCCTCGACATCGCCATGGAACGCCTAGAAGACGGTAGTCTTCAAAAGTCAATTTATCGAAAGTCCACATGGAAAGGACAATACTTACATTTTAATAGCTTTTGTCCAAATAGCTTTAAACGTGGTCTAGTCAAGACTCTGTACTATAGAGCGAGGAGAATATGCTCTACAGAGAAATTAGAGGAAGAATTTGAGTTTCTTGAAAGGATATTGAAGAGCAATGGGTACCCTCAAAGGTTCATCAACAAGTATGGAAGATCTGAAGTCACAAATGAAAAACAAATCACAGTAGGAAAAAAGCCAATCTACTTTCAGCTTGATTATAAAGGTGAAAACATTGCAGCGATGATCAACAGAAGGCTGAGCACATCACTAGTCATAGCCTATCCTGCAGCTAAGCTCGTTCCCGTCTATCGAACAACTTGCTCTTTGATGCAACCAAAAATTGATAGATATCCTTCTCATGTTAACTCCAACTGTATATACAAATTTACATGTATCTGCGGGAGCAGTTGCATTGGAAGAACAGAGAGAAGGGCATATCTACGATTTTCTGAACATGTACCAAAAAGCTTACGTCTAAAGGGAACAAATGCTTTAGACCGTGCCATCGCCAGGCATCTTCTCGACACGGGTCATGAAGTGGACGTCGAAAAGTCGTTCAAAATTATCAATAGGCAAAAGAGCTCAATTCTCCTTAAGTTTGCTGAAGCCATTTCCATCAAGCGCCTGAAAAATGATTCATGTGTCCAGAAAGAAGCGGTTATCAGTCTTTCTTTGCCCCGGTAACTGGATGCTGAAAAGTTTCCATTGTGCATGATTATTATTGTTCGGAATAGTGTTTAATATTGCATATATAAATGTGTATATATTACCAGTGTATGCGTATATATATATATATTGATCGATTGATTTTTGTTTGAAAATGAACTCTGTGCAAGTGTGTTAAAATTGTTTTTGTAGTTACATTTAATAATGTCTTTGGTGTGTAAACAGCTGACGAGAGGGCAACGAATTGATGCTGCAGGATTGGACTTCACCGACCCCTAGATTAGAAATAGGAAGTGAAGTGGTAGAGCACGTTGACCGCTCCACTTATTTGGGAAGCTGCATCAGCCCCAACGGGTTGATCTCTGATGAAATCTCAGCACGAATACAGAGTGTTAGTTTCGCATATGCCAGTTTACGCCGTCTCTGGCGTAAACGCGATATCCGACTATCGACCAAAGGGCGTGTGTACTTCTCAACAGTCCGCTCCGTCCTCCTTTATGGCTGTGAGACCTGGCCATTAAGAGTAGAAGACATCAAAAGATTAACTGCCTTTCATTATAGGTGCCTGCGTTCTATCTCCCGTGTGAAGTGGTATAATAAGGTGAGCAATGTTGAGGTTAGGCATCGGTCGAGTGCTAGGTAAGGCGGGGAAATCAATAGACGAGACTGTGAAATTACTTCGACTGAGATGGTTAGGACATGTGTTGTGCGGATGCCTAGTCATCGCCTTCCTCGACGGGCAATGTTAGCTGGTATAGGGTCAGGCTGAAAAAGAGCTAGCGGTGGCACCAGTCAATGAAATCCACAACAGTTAGTCTAAGGCACGTAGGGAGGTGTAGACTTCCTGACTGGTTGGAGTCCTAGGGACGGTAAAAACCAATGGTTGGAAACAATTGGTGATATGGCTCAAAATCATTCTCAATGGCTCGCACAGATGCATCAACTTCTTGTGACTTATGATTTCCAATGAAACTGTTTTGTTCTTCGTTATTACTATTCCTTTGTCTCACACCTCTGTTTACTGTCTCTATTATACATTTCTTCTACTTTCTTCTCTTGCTTTGTGTGCTACATGGAGTGTGGTGACTTGAACTGCCGTACATATGTGCAAAGTTCTATGTTAAAAACCGACCGACCGAACGAAATAAAAGATGGTACCATTTTATTCTGCTAACTAAAACTGTAGTTCTTGCTTTGTTCAAATTCATTAAGGGGAGTAAATGTATACAACATGATCTTCAACAGCATGAATAATCACCTGAAATCTCAGCTTACCACAAACCATCCGTTTCTATCCCAGTTGAAATATAATAAATAAGTGTTTTTTTTTAATTAAAAAAAATCATCTACTGAATAACTACTGTATTAAAAAACAACAACTTGCTTTACATACATACATACAAAGACCGCCTAAGTAGTAGTAATAGTAGTAATGGATAAACTAATGTTTGTTTTTTGGTTTTCTCCAGAGAAAAAGAGAAACGAAACAATAAAAAGTTGTCTGAAAGGATTGAAGTGCCCTTTAACTGGCTTACTTGACTTACCCACTCACTCACTTACACCTCAAAATGGCAGCATATATTATTATTATTTTGGTGCAAATTCAACATAATTTCTAAATGAGTATGCGCATGTATGCGCGCACTTAAATTAGTGTGTGTGTATTTTAACTGAAGGAGTAGAAACATTTCATTCTAAGACAAGACAGTTAGTATACTATATAGGTTGGTTGGAGAGAATTGTCTCCTCCTCATGAGAAATTGATAGCTTTACCACAATAGGCGGAGAGACATGCTTCCCGAAGAGCTTCAGATACAGTCTAAAGAGAAAGAGTAGTGGAAACAAATCAGAAAACATTCGAGGAATTGATATACACATTGAAAATAGAAAATTTTATGAGAGGACTAACACATGCGATTATGGTAGGATTACAATTACACTGACGCCAATTAACTTTGGAAACTTGGCGAAATAATTTCAGCCATACAAGTAATAAACACTGTAGGAGAAAGGCTGAGGCACGCATTCTAAATTCTCACGACGATTTTTATTTTATTATAGCTTGATTTCACACAGTATTTTGGTACAAGTATGGAATTTTCAGCATGTGATATCGGTGGTTCAAATTTAGCAGGCCGACCATTGATATCAGGTGTGCGTCGGCCGGGGATCGAACCCCGGACCATTTGCATGGCCGGCGAGCGTCCTAACCGCTGTGCCACCGATGCACAAGCGCGCCGCGCCTGGGTGAAAGCCAGGAATTCTAACCGCTAGACTTTACAGTCACGATATATTCGCCATTTTTAAGAAGGTCTGTTAAACTATATCAAACTATTTTATTGAAGGTCAAAATAACAATGGAGATTAATAAACTAAAGACGTGAGGTAATAATACATCTGCCCTGGTATCAAAACAAAATCTACCAAGGAAGGTTTAAAGTAATGATGACGAATTGTTTTGAAGAACGCATAAAGGTGGTTTAAGCTTCCTAATCTGTAAGACTTGCACAAATTTGAGGATATGCGTTTTATAGATAGGTTTAAAAGATCTGTAAACATCAATTTTATGTCCTGTGTCCTCTGTAATATCTTTCGCAATAAAGGAGCTAGGTCTCCTGTTCTCACCATTAATGGGTTCATGGGATTCCATTTACTTTTGAAGCCATTTAGGAATATACTCTGAAGCCCTTACTTGCAGAGATCGATGAGTCCTCTCTATGTATGTATGTGTGACGGCAAGTACATTTAAATTGGTAGATACAGTGGGATGTGACCTCCTTTTTCGTATGTTCTAAGGGTTTAGTTGGATATATGGGCTTCACATTTTCAATTATTCTGATCTTAGCTGCATAAAGTCTTTTCTAACCTCAGCGTTCAATCCTTGTCGAGTTACCAAGCTGCTATGATCACCCATGTAGGGTAGCTTGATATATACATCCTTCTTAGAGGCGAGTTGAAGAATGGGTCTTGGTGTTCTGACTATTTTATATCTCCTTATGAACTTCTCTGGATAATTGTTATCAACCAGAGTTTGTGTGAAGTTTCTTTCTTCCCCATCGAGTGTGTCTTCAGCGCATATTAGTTGGATTCTACTGAAGAGGCACCTCACTAAGGATCTTTTGAACCGAAAAGGACAGAAGCTGTGGTAATTAAGATACTGTCCTATCCAGGTAGGTTTCCTATGCGTAGAACATTTTGTTGATCCATCAGACCATCGACTAAGTAATATATCTAGGAAAGATAAACAATTATCTTTCTTTTCTACAGAAAGACTTAAATGATATGCTATTTTGAACTCCATTCATTCGATTTAAAATTGAAGTGACAGAACAAGGCCTATTATTTATGGAAACGATATCATTGACATATCTTCTATAAAGAGATACATTTTCGATTAAATCTTCTTCCAATAAGCTTTCAATGTACGACATATAGATATCTGCAAGCTAACTATACTGGCACTCCGCTCTAGAGAGGAGGGGGGTTAAGTAAAGGTTGAGCCCGAAGTTTGTACACATCCCTACTTATCGAGCGGTGGTAAAATCTTAATACACACACACAACTCTAATAACCACCCCTCAAACAGGTTGTGTCATTCCTTCACGTTCCCAGTGGAACATAGGGCTTCAAGCTAGAGGCTTGAAGTTTCTGTAGCAGTGTTTATTTTTACAGGATGGAGTTGCTAGCCTCCTGCCCAACCTTCCCGCTTTGCCAGTTCTATTACAGGCTTAGCGAGGTAAAGGAGTGCGTCGGTGGCCGGGGATCGAACCCCGGACCATATGCATGGTTGGCGAGCGTCCTAACCGCTGTGCCACCGACGCACAAACAGGTTGTGTATGGCTGGCCTCAAATAGTAGTTTTTCCCTCAGCTGTCTTCTAGGTACCTCAAGATGAAACCAACTTCCATCTTGTGGGCGACAAGGAAGTAATAACCGTCTACACACTTCCATAAGCACACACGGTTGAGATTAAAAGACGATCTGAATCGTACAGCACGCATTGGTGAAATTGTTGTCAAAAAGACATTTTTTTTGAAAGGAAATAGTACAGCTTTAAATACTCCTAATAAAAGTGGATGAGTGTATGTGAATTTAAAACAAATGAGAATTATTCAAATAACAGTTAAAAAAGAAAAAAAAGCGAATAAAACTATACTAACCGGATGAGCATGACAGACACGTGCAACATCTTCTGCTGAAGCTCCATACTCCATAGCTAATACAGCCTCGTTGATTAATTCACCTGCACATGGGCCAAGTAAATGTACTCCTAGAAGCCTATCTGTATCTTTATGTGCTAAAGCTTTGAAAAGTCCTTCAGGTTCATCATTTGTCTTAGCTCGTGAATTTGCAGACATTGGAAATTTACCAACTCTGGCAAAAGGGAAAGAAAGACAAGAATACAAGTTGGAAAAGTATATGCATAAGTGGAATTATAGTACAGTATTTATAAAATAGATCACCGAAGTCAATAAAAGATGAATTATTAGGTACTGACGTCGCACGTCAGATCGTCGCTAGAGTGGAACCCAAATGGGAAACGACCAGTTGAGCGTGAATCCGAGGGTGACACGGAGGTGTTCGTGCGAGGAGGACATGAGAGACTACGGGCAGTAGTCGTGGGGCCAACTAGAGAGGACTGTAGAGAACAGAACAAAGTGGAGATGTGCTGTTGAAGCCCTACGTTCGTCTCGAAACTCAAGGGAATAATAATAATACTAGTTATAATGATAATAATACACTCACTTGTAAGGTATATTCTCCGCTTTCAATTGTTCTTCATTTTTACCAACCCAAGCACATTCAGGATGCGTGTAAATAACACTAGGAACACAATTGTAATCTATGTGTACAGCACCGCCAAGCATTCCTTCAACACAAATTATTCCCTCATCTTCAGCTTTGTGCGCTAACATTGGACCAGGTATACAATCACCAATAGCATAAATGCTAAAATATATACGTATTAAACGTTCAAAAAAAGGTAAAATAGTTTTTAATCCACAGATTTAAAGTTTGAAATAACAGTATAACATGTAGACAGGTAATATTTTTTAAAATACGATACTTGATTTACATCCGACCTTATTATTATTAAGAAAGAATGAGTACCAAAGCAATACAACTGCTCAGTACACTTGATTTTTAACATACATTCATATATCTCATATACACCACTGGTTATAAAGTCATACAATTTCATGACAAGAATTCTTCTTCGGCTACGAAATCACCGATTTCAGTGAGATTTCCAAGATTAACACCAAAAAGCCACTTTGTTTTCTATTATGAACAGGTACTGTGATGCGATCATCTAGTACTGATTCGATCCCCGGCCAAAGTACTCCCCCAGATCTCACCTAGCCGGTTAGTAAGTCCGCAAAAGAGAGAAGGTCAGGTATGAGGTTAGCAGCCCCATGCCGTAAAAACAACACAGACTGCATTTAAGTTGGGATCTTTATATACAGATTTGATTTCAGACGAACAGGAGGAGTTTCACCCTTCGATATATATTTGTGAAAAACTTGAAGACAGTAACCAAGGGAATTCTTGATTAACACACACATTTGGTATGCGAAATAAATCCAGGTGAGAATTGTGGAAAAACACCGGTTTTACAGTTGATGACTTTAGCTCCAGGCTACGTAACGATTGCAATTGACTACAGATTTTTAAGCATCAAACGCAAGTCATCGAGGAGGATGCCAGAGTATGATGTCTTTTTCTGGTGTACTGTCTGGTTGTCTGTCTTTCACAGTCATCTTCTGAATAGTGGTAGTTGAAACCTGCTGTTTTTTTTTTCGAAGTTCGTGTTGCCCAACGATTATCTGGTAACTGTAATTGTTTTGTTCTGTTATGTAACACATTCTACTCAATTTTGAATTTTACTTACTGGGTTGAACTCACTATTACGTCATAAGAAAAAGACGTAAACAGCGATTCATTTCCATAACTTGTACAATTAGCGGTTAGGACTCTCGCCGACCATGCACATGGTCGGGGGTTTGATCCTCGGCCGACGAACTCCTTTACCTCGCTAAGCCTGTAATAGAACTGGCAAAGCGGGAAGGTTGGACAGGAGGCTAGCAACTCCATCCTGTAAAAATAAACACTGCTACAGAAACTTCAAGCTATAGCCAGCTTGAAGTCCTATGTTCCACTGGGAACGTGAAGGAATAAAAAAATCAGATACTGGTAAACTTTGTCCTCGAAAAGGAATTACGTAACGCGAAGTGTAGTCTACAAGGGGGTGACTAGTCAGAAATTAGAAAAGGGGACAGAACTTGGCATGACGTAATAAGTGTGAGATAATGACTAATCATTAAGATCGTGTAGAATGGACACGAACTAGTGGAAAGACGATAAAGTGTTTTTATATAAAATTTGTATGAAAATGCAATGTTAATAATAAACAGTAATAGAGTGATAATAACATTGCGTTTTCATACAGATTTAATATAAAAACACTTTATCGTCTTTCCACTCTACACAATTATACTGACTGTTCACTTTCTCACACTTATTACGTCATGCCAACTTCGGCCTCTTTACTAATTTCCGATTAGTCACCCCGTCCAGGTTACACCTGACATTACGTAATACATCTTCGGCGATAAATTTTACCAGTATCTGATTTGTCTAATGGTTTCCTTGTTAAATATGATTACGATTGTACAGCTTATGAAAATTTCGTTCATTCACTATTAAGCTTCCAAATTTACTTATTTTTTTTAATTTCAAAATTTTACGTTACTATTCACCCCCCTTCCTCTTCAACTCTCCATCATAATATGCATAAATTCATTCGGTTGTTCGATCTTGTATTCTGTCTCTAATCAATTCTTGTTTTCAAGCGGAATCTGAACTCTACCACCTTCTTGTCTAGTTATACTATAAATAGTTAGTCCCTTTTTAACACTGAATAATTTGTCTACTTACATCATTTTTTGGAAAATATGTTGGTTATACTTTCTATCTATAAGTCGACACTACTGTGAAGAAAAGTATGCTCAGAAATTGTGTAACTTATAATTTGATTTTGCTTAGGATGTACACACAGTTGGAGGGAATCCACAAGATAATAAAAACGAGGTCATATTGCAACGACAGAAGACAAGGACCAGGCAACAGATCGTTTATTGAGAAAATCAAGAGATGTTTATAGATTTTTATGTACATTATTGTCAGCAGAGAAGCAACGTCTTCTGATTGGTTGTTTTCTTGCTGAAGGTTATTCTGTATTGCTTGTAACCGTTTCTCAGAAAGTCAGGCCATATATCTGCGAATCGTATCTTCACACGTTAAGTCTGCTGTGATTGGTTGGTGAGTTCTTGAAGGTTAAGCTTTGTCATTGTTTTTTTCTCATGACCCTGATTTGGGACGTGAACATTGACGTAAACTGTTGTCTACAATTTTGGCTTCTTTGCAGACATCTCTCACCACAGTATCATCGAGACTGCAAATATGTTTATTCTTTCTTTATTCAAACTAATAAAAAGGGAACTGGTTGTATGGAACAGCTCTATTTACTTTGTACTACTTAATGCTAACAGAGTTCTCTGTGAGTAACGGTAAGCTGAGAAGTATATGATGATTTTCGACTATAACTATTACAACAAATTCAACATTCTTTAACTACTTCATTAAAAAATTTTTTCACATGAACGTGAAATAATGATCAAATTCCACGTATGTGTAAAGTGTTTAAGTAATCAGAGAGAGTGGGAGAGAAAAGTATATGCTCATTAAATATCTGACCGAGTTACTTTCTAACAGTCAAATGTTCTATGAGCACACGCATATATCAATGTAGGAGGATAGTATCAATCCAAAGTAACTCATAGGCAGTGGATTTTCTTGTCCTCCAAAAACCAAAAAGAAAAAGAAATCATTAGACAAGAAACTTCTAAGATGCTTACTATAGACTCAAAGTATAAATCAACGTATGTCTACCTAGAAGCTTGAGATTTTTACGTTTTTTTTCGTAGAGCTATTCTATCTCATCTTGTGGATACAGAATACAAGATTGATGTTAACTAGGATTTCAGGGTCATTTACCGTATACCAGCAAATCTCATTTTTGCCTTAAGAGTTCGACTACTAAATATTGCTGAGACTGGCTGTTGGGATCCATATTAAGAAGATTTATATGCATATGATTGAAAGCAACGCCAATGGCTACTAAAGAAAACTATGCTTGTCTTTTGAAGACCTTTGCCAAGTAAAACTACAAGATAAACTTACAGTGACTAGTGAAAACATATTAGCTGTATTTGACCGCCATTTTCATTCTTGATTAACTATACACACACACTACTGATGTGAACTCGTGTTCAAACCTGTAAACCAACGTTTCGATAACTAATCTGATATGCTCACTACTGAATGGCTTTATTCAGGAAGTTGCCTGAATATCTAGTGAGATGTCGTCACCAGTGGGGTTCACCAAGTCGCCTATGGCATTGACTAGCAGTTGCCTTCTTCATACCGCGAATTAGTAGAAGTTGGAATTTATGGACTGGCCATTGGGATCGGGTCTCAGTGGCTGAATGGATGATCTACGAGGTTGGCCTTGTAACCGAAAGATCCTGGGTTCGAATTCTGGCGGTGGGTGCGTACTGCTCAAGAGTTCAAAACTAGGGTGAAACAGTTGTCCAGTACTCCCTGATGGTTTTCCCAATGATTCTCTAACTGATGTCAATTTGTGATTAAACCTGTAAATAACATCTATCCACTTCATGATATGTGTAAAATTTGGTCGCTTTGTAATACAGAATTCCAGATTAATTTTTTTATTGAATATATTACACAGTGATATATTGGATGACGTTTCGAACACAGTTTACTGTTCAAAATTATATCAGTTTTAACTACAGAAATTAGAGCTTTATAGCTCTCCCTCTTTCTTCCCATTTGTCGTAAGGGTAGCACGATTTTCCAGACGTCCGGAATCTGCATTAAGTCAATTCTACTCTGCAAGTTGTCATTTGATTCGATAAATAAAGCTTCAGTTATTAAATTTTCCCTCCACTTCGTCCAATCCTATTGTATGGTTGCATGTGATTGCGGGTAATAATGCTATATCTGGGCTTTTCTCTAAGTTCCTTATTTTATTAGGTTTAAATAATCTAGCCGAAAGGTCCTGGGTTTGATCACTTGGAGTTGACTAACATTGATGAAGAGTCCCAAACCAGGACGAAACAGCTGTCCAGTACTCACTGGTTTTCTAATGCTTCACTGACTGATGTTAGCCTATGATCAAATCTGTGGGCAATCAAATCCCTGCACACCAACAGTTGGTCATCTAAATTTTGATAGACCTTTCTGTTTCGCCAGTCTAGTTGACCCTGGCCTACTACTACTTTGACCTCAAAACCATTTTAAGGAACTAGAAAAACTAAATTGTCTTGCTTGGTGTTTAATTGGCCCCATATAATCTTTTAGTCGAAATACATTGTTGTTTCTAAGTGCGTTTGTGGATTTAAATGTCGCTTTTATCCCTGTCTTGTTAAGAATCCTACATCATGTTTCAGAGGTTCCCTCTTTATACGACAGTACTACTGATATTTTAAATTCCTTATTCATGGTATTGTCATCTTTCTGTGTATATTTATCATTCATGACATACACATATGTGGCATGTGCTACTGACAAGATTTATCAGTAGTATATAAAGAGACGTTCATCGGCACAAAAATATCAAATAGTGGAGAGATAGATTTGACGTCAAAGAGAGGAAATGAACCAGTATTGTGACAAAACATGGGAGACACAAAGAAACACAATAAGAAGGGTAGAAGTAGCACAACACAGAAGATCTGTGCAAATGACGATTATTAATATATAGTATATTTAATTTCTCTATAAGAGAGAGATGACAAATTGCAAATAAACATTCCGTTGCCAAGCCTTTTGTCTTTTCCCGTTAAACATATACTTCAAACACCTTAAAAGATGGAAATTTCAGATTTTAAGGGGTTAACTTAACTTGTACACTTTTCGCCTAGAAATCTCACCCAATGTGAGGTGAAACTACAGCATCACAATTATGGCACATTCAATTCACGGAGGGTAAAATAGCTTAGTAGGCAAAATATTTGATTCTCCTACAGCAGGGCGAAAGTACTATCTTCTTACTTCAAAAGAAACCCTATTAGATCAGCTATCTACCGACTTCTTTCAGTAAATGCATAAAGGCTAGCAAAATAAACAATAGCGTACTGAATATGCGTTGTATAACAGATGTTTTAAAGAAACATACCTTGGTACAGAAGTCTGGAAATTTTTATTCACAGGAATACGACCTTTCTCATCTAATTTGATACCAACATTCTCTAGGCCAAGACCGGTGGTGTATGGACGCCTTCCAATACAAACCAGGAGAGTATCACAATCGATCTGAAATATATTTTAAAAATGTTGGAGATGAATACAAGTATAACTAAGAACTGACTGCCAAACACACCAGAATATGATAACCAACTGCCACGTGTGTTTGACTCATTACGCTTTGTACTTTTTCAAAAAAAATATCCATTTGGCAGAAACAATCCCTAATGTTAAGTCATTGGTAGATCAAATAAATAGCGGGCAGAGAGGAACAGGGATAAAATGGACCCACACAGAAAACTTGGAGGATTTGGACTTCGCCGATGATATATGTCTGGTTTCCCACAAACTGGAAGATATGCAAGTGAAAAGCAACAAGTTGGCAGAAGAAGCATCCAGAGAAGATAGGCCTTCAGGTGAACATAGAGAAAACAAAGGTGATGAAGATTCCTGGCCAACAGCAACAGCAACAACAGACAACAATCAGCATAAATGGGAGAAATCTGAAAGAAGCAACCTCCTTTAGATACCTACCGACCTGGGAAGCATCGTTTCAAATACAAGCGGACGGAACTGATGGGGATATCAAAGTAAGGATCGGGAAAGCAAGCCAAACTTTCATTACTCTCAAGTCTGTGTGGAGATCAACAGCACTCAGTATGAAAGTGAAAATAAGATCCGGATTTTCAACTCAAATGTGAAGTCAAGGCTGCTTACTATTCACATCAGATTTGGTGCCGCGTCACGAAGGGCACTTCGAACAAACTACAGACTTTCACTAACAGCTGTCTTCGCTCAATGCTACTCAAGATCAGATGAACGGTCAGAAAAGATCAGCAACAGGGATCTCTGGGAGCGAACCAAACCAGCAGGAACCGATTTTGCGACAAATATGCAGGAAGAAATGAAGGTGGGTTGGCCATACTCTGAGGAAACCATCAAGTGACATCACGCGCCAGGCCATCACTCGAGTGGAACCCTAACGGGAAGCGGTGAGGGTGATATGGAGGAGGTCATGTGAAGAGGAAATGAAAGCATGTGGGCAGACGTGGAGCCAGGTGAAAACGTTATCAGAGAACCGAACACAATGGAGACGTGCGGCTGAAGCCCTATGTTCCTCTAGGAATTAAAGGAAACAATAATAATGATAATAGATATTAGAACTATACTTAGCTTTTATCAGAGACTTTGTTACTATAAAAAGCAAAGAACGAAGTATTATTATTTATTATTGTTCTCTTGGTTTCCGAGTGGAACATAGGACTTCAACAGCAAGTCTCCACTTTGTCCTATTCTCTGTGTACCTCCTTAGGCAGCCCCATGATTGCCCATATACTGTCACCTTCTCCTCGTATGACATCTTCCATGTCGCTCTCAGACCAACGCTCAACTTGTTCTTTCCCATTAGGGTCCCATTCGACGGTCTCCTCAGTGTGTGCACAATCCTTATCCATTTTCCTTTTGGTTGGTTAGTCCCCAGAGCTCCCTGTAGTTGATCCTTTCTGACCGGCCATGTGATCTTCAATATGGAGCCAGAGAAGGCAGCTGTTGACAAAAGTATGCAGTAGCCAGCTGGAAATGCTTTTTGTGACGCGAGTACCAAGTTTCTGACCCATATAGAAAAACTGACTGGCTTAACACTGGTGTTGAAAATCCGAATTTCGTTCTTTATTCTGAGTGCAGAAGATTTCCAAACTGATTTCAGAGTGATGAAGGTCTGTCTTGCCTTTCCGATCCCGACCTGCTTTAACATCTTCATCCGTGCCTCCTCTAGTTGAAACGATGCTGCCTAACCAGATAAGTGAAGGAAGTAACCTTTTTCGAATTTCTCCCGTTAAAACTGACTGATGCCGGTTGTTGATGGTTGGTAATCTTTATCACCTCCGACTTCCCTATTTCCACCTGAAGTGCTGTTTTTGCTGCTTCTTCAGCCAGTTTATTGGTTTTTGCCTGCAAGTGTTTGAGTTTGTGTGACATTGAACAAAAGTCATTTGCGAAATCCAGATCTAGTAGTCTGTCTGTCTGTTTTCGACATAGAACTTTGCACATATGTGCGGCAGTTCAAGTCGCCACACTCCATGTAGCACACAAAAGAGAAGAAAGTAGGAGAAATTCATAATATAGTCAGTAAACAGAGATGTGAGACAAAGGAATAGTAATAACGAAGAACAAAACAGTTTAATTGGAAATCATAAGTCACAAAGAGTGGATGCATCTGCCAGAGCCACTGAGAACGATTTTGAGCCATGTCACCAATTGTTTCCAACCATTGGTTTTTACTGTCCCGAGGACCCCAACCAGGAAGTCTACACCTTCCTACGTGGCTGGCTTAAACTAACTGTTGTGGATTTCATTGACTGATGAAGCCATGTTTTAGTTTGACCGCCGCTAGCTCTTTTCCAGCCTGGCCCTATATCAGCTAACATTGCCCTTCGGTCGAGGAAGGCGATGACTAGGCATACGTAACACATGTCCTAACCATCTCAGTCGATGTAATTTCACAGCCTCGTTGATTGATTTCCCCTCCTTACCTAGCACTCGACTGATGCCTAACCTCAATATTGCTCACCTTATTATACCACTTCACACGGGAGATAGAACGCAGGTACCTATAATCAAAGACAGCTAATCTTTTCATGTCTTCTACTCTCAATGGCCAGGTCTCACAGCCATAAACGAGGACGGAGCGAACTGATGAACAGTACACACGCCCTTTGGTCGACAGCAGGATATCACGTCTGCGTCACAGACGGAGTAAACTGGTATATGCGAAACTAGCCCTCTGTATCCGTGCTGAGATTTCGTCAGAGATCAACCCGTTGGGGTTGATGCAGCTTACCAAATAAGTGAAGCGGTCAACGTGCTCTATCACTTCACTCCCTATTTCTAAACTAGGAGTCAGTGTAGTCCAGTCCTGTAACATCATCTTATATTTGGCGGGAGCGAATCACACGCCAAACATTCGTAGATTGCAGCTCAAGGTGTTCAGAAGACTCTGGATTTTTTCAAAGTCTTCACCTAGAAGGACTATATCATCTGCATATTCTAAGTCGACGAGATTATTCCCTGGTAACAAGTTAGTCCCTGAGTCGCTGAAGTGAGTTTCAAATATCAGTGATGGATCTAGTAGAGTTTTCGTATCGGTCCAGCATATTTTTGTCTTCTAGCTCTGACGCATAATCCAGTCCACCACAGGTAGGAATAAAGTAAACGATAATAATCCAGGGTTTCTCAAAAAGCGAATTCTTCATCGGAAGCCATTGTAACATGACACAAAATGACTGAGTTAATGTTGCAAAATGACAAAAGTGAAAGGAGTTGGAACATTTATTACGATAAAACCAAAACATCATCAGCACTGAAGATGTTGTCTAGGAGGACGACGAAAGCTTCGCAATTAAATCAACCAGCTCAGAGAATACAACTAATTCAAAATCATCCACCTGAACTACAAATCTCAATTATTTCAAATACCTCCTGATAACTTTACTTAACCTGTGTAATTACTACATAACAAAATATATAAAGAAATGAAACACTGAGACTTACGCTTTGAGATTTACCGTCTTTTGCACCCTCTAATTGTACTGTGATATTATTACCAGATTTTGAAGCGGATAGAACTTTAGTATTCAAAAGGAATTTAAGACCTTGTTTAGTTAGTATTTTTTGGAAGTTTTTGCTTATCTCCATATCAATGCCCATTCCACCAACATGACCAAGGAATTCTACACAAGTGACCTGAAATAGAGAGCACAAAAGTTTATATTAAATAAGCGGGAATACTGTTTTATATATATAAAGTGTTAAAGGCAGAATCATTAATCATAGAAATTTTACATGAACCTGGATTTCAAGGGAGACTTAACCTGAGATATCCTTAAGAGAAGAATTTCATCATAATTGAGAAGAACATTCTTCGTAGCAACGTTAAGAGTAGTGTTCTCCAGTCGTCAATTGGTCTGCAGAAGCTTCAAGGACAAGATCTCGCATCTGAGCACTTCCAATTCCTTATATCACATCATCTGTTGTTGTGGAGCCAGGTATATTGGTCGTTCGATGCGTATCCAAAGCCTCAGGATGGTCGGGGGTGGGTGCCTTGCGCTGCGGGTTGGCCACCCCTCCGCACACCTCTTGAAATGCTCCCATATGACCGGGCGTCTTACATTGCCTCTCCTGAGGAAGTCCTACTCACTGCCTTCACGTGGTGAAGGTTTTTTTCACCAAAGTGAGAGGGCGAAAGCGGATGCCCGGTGCTCTTCACCGGGTTGACTGTCCATTGGATGACAGTCTAGGGGAGATGGCTAAACCCTGATTCCAAACCTCCAACGACTGGCGTATGAAGCTCACTGGAGCTCACCGGCAGACGTATGGACAAAGGGCTTGTTGGATGTCCTGGATGTCTGGCCCCATTCAAAAAGGTGTATGAACCGAACTCCGGTCACCGGCTGCCAATGGATAGTGGACTCCCTACTCCACTCCTACTGCCTTGTAGGTCACACTTGGTTGTGTAAAGGTTAGAGCTGCACCCTCAAACAAAAGGCCGAGCGATTCTGGGGACATCACTCGTACCAAATTCCCATGAAACTTCATGAACTCCCTTCATCAGATCGCCGCGCCTGGGCAGCGATGATTCGAGATGTTCATGAAGCCGGCTCATCCTCCCGTAGGAGATAGCCGAAGTAAAGTAAAAGTAAGTATCTAGTCTAAAAGGGTTCAATGACACTATACCACACGGTTGCAGAAAGGTAGTAGTGGCTCTATGAGGAGTGTGATAATCGAACACCTTGTCAACACTGGTCGTTCTATCTCAACAAGCACACACCTCCTTCAAAGTAATCTACAAAGTGAAGAACACAATCTACCAAAGGCAATACGCTTTCATCTCCTTTGCATTGTTGAAGACTTAGCCATTCAGTTAGAAAAACAGAGTTATGCATACAAAAGAAAATTACTTGACCGTTTCTAATATCATAATAACAAGAAGCGTGTTGATTTCTACTGACTTGTTTTCCTAACTTCATGATAACTCTTCTGTTTTTTTAGAACTATTAAATATTTTGGATAAGATTTTATTTTGATAAATCACAGTGTTACACAGTAATATTAACTGATGACGTTTCGAGCACAAACTATTGCCACTCATAATCATATCAAGTTACTCACACAACTTTTTTCCTTCATTTATATACATGAGTGAAACCGATTAGACATTTGAATAAAATTAATATTAGATAATGTACATTCAGAAATAACAGTACGAGTGTTATTGATCAATTACAATCAGATGGGAAATAAGACGAGTGTATTTTATAGTCAAAATAAGTAACTTGTTAGAATGTTGTGATGTGTTTGAATTGAAATAGAATTTTAAGATTATTTATTATCCTCCCCTGATTTGACCGGCGGTAATAATATCTTCCATATCTCTGGTATTTGTATTGAGTCATTTCTGTTGCATGTGTTGGGTGTAGGCTCGATGAACAAGGATTCCGTAATCAACCTCTCCCTCTCCACCTACCTATATTACTTTTTAGAATTTTAACTCTATCCCACCCTATTGTGTGGTAATGCGTGAAGTGGAATTGCTGAGCTTTTTTCTAAATTACTTATCTTCTCGGGGTCAACCATTCTTCCCTTAGCTAAATTTTTATGTTCTGATAATCTGATTACCCCCGACCTACTAGTTTGACCTATGTAGTTGACTTAACTCACAGTCATTGCAGGGTATTTTGTAAATTATATTATTTTGTATAATTGGGTCAACTACAGGGTCCTTTAACCTATAGAGCTTGTCCCTGAGTGAGTTTGTAGGTTTGAATGCCACCCTAATTCCTGCTTTATTAAGTATCCTACGTAGGGTCTCAGATGTCCCCTCCTTATATGGTATAACAGTGGATGACTTATATTCTCTCTTATTTGTGTTATCATTACTAGTTCCACAATTATTTTTATTTTGTTTTTGGCCTTTACTGATCTTCCTAATGAATTTTATAGGATAGTTATTCAACACCAACGCCTTCCTCTTCTATGTTTCATTTCGTCATTTAGGTCTTTTCTTGTACTACTTAGTGCTATGGCTCGGTTTGTTAGACACTTCACTAAGCCTACTTTAACAGTTATACTCATATGAAATATTTTCATACTTTCCTTCGTTTCTATGAGCATCCTGATCATAACTTATTCACTAAATTATTCATCTCTTATCACTTAACTCCAATACACTCATTCAACTTCATTGATGCATTGACTAATATTAACCACTTTGTTTGTGACAACTCATCATCTCTTTCATGAAAAAGAGACTGTGTATGAATACGACTGTACAGCTAAAGAAAATGAATTCGCTGATGAATTGTGTTTTGTTTTCATCACTGTCTTGATGGGGATTATTCATGAATTGAAAAAAGGGGCACAATCTTCATCAATACAAATGCTGCCTTTAATCCATGAGAATCCAACCTTAAGTTCTAGCACTATGAAACGCAAAATTTGTTTTTCGAACAAAAATCTTACATAGTCTTAATGCAAAAGAAAACCCACTGAAATAATTTTCTATTTTGTAAAGTTACGGTAAGGAAAACACAAATTTGAGCACCAAAAAGATGCACCATGAAAAATAATGAAATAATAGGGAAAAGAGAAAAATTGATATAAGTATAAAATTTGGGCCCTGTGGTAGAGCATACCTCCATTATGGATAAGATTTTATTTTGATAAATCACACAATGTGTTGTACAGTAATATTAACTGATGACCACGTTTCGAGCACAAACTATTGCTCATAATCATATCAACTTGATATTATTATTATTATTGTTCCCTTTAATTCCTAGAGGAACATAGGGCTTCAGCCGTGCGTCTCCATTGCGTTCGGTTCCCTTCTAGAGTCTTCAACTGGCTCCAAGTCTGCCCACACGTTTTCATCTCCTCTTCACGTGACCTCCTCAGAATCACCCTTGCACTGACGACCAACTCGCCGCTTCTCTTTCGGGTTCCACTCGAGCAATGGCTTGTCTAGTGATGTCACTTGATGGTTTCCTCAGAGTATGGCCAATCCATCTCCATTTCTTCCTGCCTATTTGTTGCACAATCGGTTCCTGCTGGGTTGGTTCGCTCCCAGAGATCCCTTCCTGTTGCTGATCTTTTCTGGCCATCTGATTTTGAGTATTGAGCGAAGACAACTGTTAGTGAAAGTCTGTAGTTTATTTGAAGTGCCCTTTGTGACGCTGCGCCAAGTCTCTGATCCGTAAGTATAGTAAGTAACACTGACTTCACATTGGAGTTGAAAATCCGGATCTTATTTTCATTACATGCTGAGTGCTGTCGATCTCCACACAGACTTGAGAGTAATGAAAGCTTGCCTTGCTTTCCCGATCTTCGCTTTGATATCCCCATCAGTTCCGTCCGCTTGTATTTGAAACGATGCCTCCCAGGTAGGTAAAAGAGGTTGTTTCTTTCAGGTTCCTTCCATTTATGCTGATTGTTGTCTGTTGCTGTTGGTGGTGTTGCCCAGGAGTCTTCATCACCTCTGTTTTCTCTATGTTTACTTGGAGTCCTATCTTTGATGCTTCTTCTACCAACTTGTTGCTTTTCGCTTGCATATCTTCCAGTTTGTGGGAAATCAGACATATAGCATCGGCGAAGTCCAGATCCTCCAAGTTTTTCGTGTGAGTCCATTTTATGCCTGTTTCCTCATTGGCCGCTGTCTGTCGTATTATCCAATCTACTGCAATCAGGAAAATCACTGGCGATAGTAGGCAGCCTTGTTTTACTCCTGTTCTCACTTCGAAGGATTCCGTAAGTTTCCCGTTGTGGACTACTTGGCATGCAGCATTGTCGTACAGCTGTTGTATTGAGTGGATAATTATTGGTAGCACGCCATAGTAGCGAAGTAGTTATCAAATCACTTCTCAGTCGACGCTGTCGAAAGCATTTTCAAAGTCGATGAAGTTGAGATAGAGAGGTGACTGACATTCCAAGCTTTGTTCAATGATGATCCGTAATGTGGCGATCTGATCAATGCATGACTTGTTTCTCCTGAATCCAGCCTGTTCCGGTCGAAGTTTTTCATCCAGGGCTTGTTTGATTCTCTCCGGGATGATGCGGCTTAGTATTTTGCTTGGGATGTACAGGAGCATAATTCCGCGACAGTTCTTGCATTGACCTAAGTACCCCTTCTTTGGTAGTTTGAATAAGTATCCTTTCTTCCAATCCTCGGGTACTTTACCTTCTTTCCACACCTTCTCCAGTAGTGGCGTCATCAAGTCCGCTGTTGTCTCTGGGTCCATGATATGATTATGAGCAATAGTGTGGTGAGAGCTGTCTACTAGCCAAATTGGTAGACAGTAATTTACGTCAATATTTACGTTCCCAAGATTTGTCGTGAGAAAATGTGAACAAAGATTGACTTTGCGTAGGCGGATGCAGTTAACATATAGAGGATTTGACATTCAAGAAAGTCACAAATAGATGAAAGATTAACTTTACGTGAGAAACAACCAATCGGAAGACTGTGTTTGTTTGCTTAAATATACATAGTAATGTACATGCAAATATATAAATATGCGTTGATTTCCTTAATAAATGATCTGTTGCCTGACTCTTGCCTTCTGTTGTTACAATAGTTTATGCTCGAAACGTCATCAGTTAATATTACTGTATAACACATTGTGCTTTATCAAAATAAAATCTTATCCATAATGGAGAAAAGAGAAAAATGACTGTGAGGCAATAGTGGGGAAAAAGGTAGGCATATTTATGAATAGTATTCAAAGGGGAATTCATTACTTCACAATTGCTTTCAGAAAAAGAAGAGAGGGCATTATAGCATGTTCTGAGACACGTCTGATAAAGTCTTGAGGCAATGAGCCTAACGATTACTCGGTACCCATCTGGGGACTTATGACACATGAAAAGATGATAATCCAACACAATTATCTTTCATCCCAAGGCACCATGTTATGAGCTAACTACGCTATTTCAATTCAGTCGCACAACCAGCAAACAGCAAATAAAGGGGAACAAGTGTACGAAGACGTGGAAAGTGCTACGAAGACATTTGCGGTGACGTCCAAGTCACCCAAGGCCCTGTCCCAATATGAAATAACTTGAAAGACGATTTCTATCACGTCCAAGCACGCGCCATCGAACCTCAGAATTAATCACATAGTAACATCACTGGATGCAAATAATTTTATGGAAACGGTAATGATCGGACGTACTGAGCAACCACACATCCTCAGTTCTAATAGGCCAGGCTTTACAAGAGTTGAGCAATACTACACGCATCGAAGCATTGTAAACCCGATGTTTACCAGCCACACTGAAGTCACGACGATTCCAGAGGTGGTCTAGAATGGCGCATACTACCCTGGTTTTTATCATGGATTAGGAATTTTATTTGCCACACCCATCCCACACTCCTTGACAATCCAGTTAGTTCCCTGACCGGAGGTTCACTACGATCTTTGTAAAGAGCCAGGGGTACGTTTTTGGGTCCGGTACTTCGTGACACTTGAGCAATTGGAGTTCCTTTATGATCAGTGAGATGGATCGCCCTTAACCGACTACGAAACACTGTAATTTGGAAAACTCAATACTGTTTTTTGGGTTACCTAAACTCTTTTTCGAAGTGCATTGCCGAGCACTTCGGTCTCCTACCTCATAGATCAATTCATTAATACAATGCTTCTCCCTAATGATGGTTCATATTAGCTAGAACAGCTCCCAAGTACCGGTAGATGAAGCTCCTGGCTTCATCCCATACGCACGATCTGATCACCGGACTTCGCAGTTTTTGCGTAAGTATTAACTGACTTTATGCGGGAAGAGCCTTATGCAGACTATTATACTCGCTACCTTCCAGAATGGGCCGACAGGTAGAAACCAAGTGATTTTTACGTATAACTTTCTTCTCCGCCGCAAGCGGTCTTAATCATTATCATCATAGAGTCTTGTATATGTAGTCACTGTTCGTCTATACCTTCTGAAGGCCCAGTAGATGGCCCTCTATCTAGCTCTGTCCGATATTTGGCCGTCGTAGTACGTGAAGTCGTTATTTACGTCAACCTGTTTAGGGCGACTTTTGTGGCGTCGGTGGCACAGTGGTTAGGACTCTCGCCGAACATGCACATGGTCTGGGGTTCGACCCCCTGCCGACGCACACCCGATATCTATGGTCGGCCTGCAAAATTTGGGCTACCGATATCCATGCTGAAAATTCCATACTTCTACTGAAAATGCGGTGTGGCATCAAGCTGTAACCAAGAATATAAATTATCACCAAATAGTAAGAGGAATCTGGCAAACAAAAAAACATGATCGAAATCCAGACAAATGCTTCCAGAGAAGCGATAGTCTTCAGTGTACCCACATCATCGACAGCTGAAAGCAATTGTGATCTATTTGCATTCATGTTTGAGTTACAAAAGGAAGATAGCAAGCAGTGATGGCTGTACCGGAAACTGGTATCGTTTAGAAATGGGTTACGATATACACACAGATGCAGAAGACAGTCTCCATTCTCGGATATGTAACTCTATGAATATCAAGGTTTTATCGTCTGTATGATTAATCAACGACTTACAGGTAAAATAAAGTCATTTGTAAGGAGTGGAGATTATCTAAAATGATAGGAATTGATACCTTTACCAGCCTAGCACGCAAAATTGTCATGACTAGGGAACTGTATTACCAATTCTTAAGTTACCTTCTTTAAAATGAGCATAAATTTATCTAATTGCAATGTTAAAATCGGCGTTAGGTTATTATAAAAGTAAGGGTGAAGAACACAAACATTCCTGAGAACTTACTTCAGCACCTAGCCGCTTCCATACGGAGCCTAATTCAACGCCAATAACTCCTGCTCCAATAACCACAAGATGTTCAGGGACCTTAGTCAGAGAGAGTGCTCCAGTGCTTGAAACAATAGACTGTTCATCAATTTCAATCCCGGGGAATGGAGTGACTTCGCTGCCAGTTGCAATAAGGATGCGTTCGGTTTCTAGTCGCTTTTCACTTCCATCTTCACATTTAACCAAAACTTCATTGGGACTAACAATTGAACCAACACCTTTGACATGCTCAACCTTATTTAAAAATGAATGTAGTATATATATATATATATATAATTTCTTACAATGAAAATAATGTTGCAGTGAAATGATTCAAACAATGCTTCACAAAAGGAGTGTAACAACACGGAAAAGGCATTTAGTTTCGCTGAATTACGTTGGAATATAACTATTACATTTGTCCACATTATCAAATTATTGATTTAATAGTTAGATAGGCAAGATTCTTATTTTTGAACACTAACTGATGTAATTATTATAAGCCTCCTTGTCCATATTCAAGATTTTTCCTGAATAACACAGATTTGTTGTGGGGGAATCTATTGAGATATATAAACACTTAGTGCCAAAGACATCATTAAGGAAATGACGTCCACTTACAAAGAATCTCTTATCTACAAACTGAAAGACCACTGGAAATCTTGCATAATGAAGCCGATAAGACGCTTAGTATATACATAGAAAACTGATTTTAGGTATATTTGTAGAGTAAAAACATTTTGTGGACTAAGCAAGCTCTGTACGACAATCAAACGTAATATTTTGCTAAGAGACTCAGCTGTCTGTCTGTCTGGATTCAACATAGAACTTGGCACCGAAGTGCAGCAGTTCGAGTTGCCACGTTCCAAATAGCACACAAAGGTAGACAAGAAAAATGAGTGAAGAGAATCAATAGAGTTTTGACAAGTATGAGAGACTCAGCTGGCTCAATAAAGATTAAAGACAGTGGATATTTCGATCACGTGACTTTCAGGAAAAGTTCAATCAAACTGAATGAGCTAGCTACCGACGAAATCTCAGTATGAGTATTATTATTATTGTTTCCTGTAATTCCTAGAGGAACATAGGGCTTCAGCCTCACGTCTCCATTGCGTTTGGTTCTCTGCTAGAGTCTTCACCTGGCTCCAAGTCTACCCACATGCTTTCATCTCCTCTTCACATGACCTCCTCCAAGTCACCCTTGGACGACTAACTCGCCGCTTCCCTTTCGGGTTCCACTCAAGGGCTTGTCTAGTGATGTCACTTGATGGTTTCCTCAGAGTATGGCCAATCCATCTCCATTTCTTCCTGCTTATTAGTTTCACAATCTGTTCCTGGTTGGTTCACTCCCAGAGATCCCTGTTGCTGATCTTTTCTGGCCATCTGATCTTGAGTATTGAGCGAAGACAATTGTTAATGAAGGTCTGTAGTTTGTTTGAGATGCTCTTTATGACGCGAAGTGCAAGTCTTTGATCCGTATAGTAGCACTGACTTCACATTGGAGTTGAAAATCCGGATCTTATTTTTCATGCTGTGTTGTTGACCTCCACACAGACTTCAGAGTAGTGAAAGCTTGTCTTGCTTTTCCGATTCTTGCTTTGATATCCTCGTCAGTTCGGCCTATAGTTAAAACGATGCTTCCCAGGTAGGTAAAAAAGGTTGTTTCTTTCAGGTTCCTTCCATTTATGCTGATTGTTGTCTGTTGTTGTTGCTGTTGGTGATGTTGACCAGGAATCTTCATCACCTCTGTTTTCTCTATGTTCACCTATCTTTGATGCTTCTTCTGCCAACTTGTTGCTTTTAGCTTGCATATCTTCCAGTTTGTGGGAAATCAGACTATGAGTGCAAGACTTATTTGCCATGAGTCATCTTTAGCGTAATACCCAGCTACCCATAGAAAGGAACTAATTGTACTTCTATTTGCCAAGTTTTACTTTACAGTTGCGACATGGCCACTGAAAATAGAAAGTATAAAAGAACCAAAGAATTTAATCACACATGCTTTCAATAAAGTCCTAAAAGTCCATAGACTGGGAATGACTAGGATATTTGTTACATATTTTAAGCTAAAGCATTCCTAAATGAGTTAACCTGAGATTATGATACTACGTCATTTTAATAGCGAAAGGAAGTGATTTCAATTATGAATGCTTGAAAGATCGAACCATCAATTACAAAGCAGGGAAAATGCTAACTGCCCGGGAAATAAACGTACAGCTTTCTACCGTCATGTTTTTTCAGTATCAACATAAAACTAGAGCTTAGATTTATTCAATAGAATGATCAACTTTTGGTCCATTTGCCATGGATTTAAAACTCGCATAATCCATGTGCCACTAAACATACAAGTGTTTTCGTTACTATTCTCAATACGAAACTTGTCTACTTAGTAAATTAGCATATGTATGCCTGCTGTATCACATTTATTTGCAACCTACACTGCAGTTAGTGAATTTATGCTTACATCCCAATCACGGAGAGACTGGATGACGGGCATTAGTGATGTCGCTGTATACCAGTTAAACTGCTCCTGTTCTATTCCCGGAGGTCATTTCACTTGACACAGTTTATTTACAACCCGTCTACCTGGTGAGTTTAGATATTTGACAGTTGTCAGCTGCTCCTGATACCTTTGCTATTTCATTTACTATTCCCATATCACAGGTTACAAATAAGATACAAGATGCCAAAATGAATGACCATTTCCATTGTAAAATACTCAGGCTATTATTTGTATAACATTGAAAGTACTTGACATGATCTAACTGAAAATACTGCACAAGTTAATGCTTTCAACAAAACATTTCTGTACAATTATTAGGATTGTGTGTGCGACATCTTTCAAATTCCAAATTAAGTCTGCCATCAACTGTCAAGGGGTTTGAAAACAGACGGGAATGCCATGTAGTAGCTAGCCTGTCCGTAGTTCTGCTGTTACAGTTAATACGCAGTATGATAGCCATAGTTACGAATGATTGGAATTATTTTTGTAACCACCATAGCAAGCAAATATCTTCATTAACTTTGTAACTTCCGTTACACGACCCCGATGCTATGACTCGCCAACATATTTATATATATATATGTAGCGGTAGGTAATTCCCCAGGATTATTAGCCACGGCATTCATCACTGAACATTGGATGCTGACTCTCACTGTTTTAGTCGATTTGTTTAGCTGAAGGCTTCCGATCAAGCACCCACGCCATTTGGTACGGCGTCGTGTTACGTCCGTTCGTTCGTGCACGATCTGTAGCTAGTTAAGCAATCATCTTGCACTCCAATTTGGTCCTAAAATACAATTCATAATTTGGCCGGTCAATTCCAGTGTTTTGGTCTATGAGGAATGAATACTATAGAAGTTGTGGGTATCAGATCTAGCGTTAGTATACTTCGTACTGTCCCTGAATGTCAACACCCTTAGCATATATATATATATATATATATATACGATGTATGATTCTAAGACTAAACTGTACAAATCTAGCAGTTAGATTATTTTACATTAACACAAGTTTATATTAAACAGATAATACTACTAAAAGAGTAGTTTAAGAGTCCAAATATTCGAACCAGTGATACAGACACTGTGCTTAAATGTACCTGGATGTAAACCACGAAGATTGTAAAGAAAGACTTACCTTATTTTGTTTAAACAAATATGCTATTCCCCCAGTCAAACTTGAAACGGCTTTTTCTTTCGCTTGTAACATAACTGGGAGGTTTAGCTTGCAGCCTTCAATATCGATTCCACGATTCTTCATTTCTGCGTGCGTAAGATGATACAAATACGAATTGTTTAGAAGCGCTTTGCTAGGAATACAACCAACATTCAGACATGTCCCTCCTAATGTATCATTCTTTTCAACACAGACGGTCTGGAAAAAAAACTATGACCTCAAAGTATAAACTAACCTTCATTCCTAACTGTGCAGCCTTTATGGAAGCAACATATCCCCCAGGACCTGACCCAATAACAACCACATCAGCCTTAAAAAGATTAGCTACAAGTAAGGCAGAAACATGAGAACACTACCAGTTGTCGATAAGTGGCGTGAAATCGACTTAAGAGCTGATCCTATTCGATTCGTCTAAACATAGGCTAGGTTGAATATCATTTAAAACCTACAGTGAGCAGTCTGACCATATTGTAGATTACAGCACACGAAAGGAAAAGCGGTTGTAACGAAAAGCACGAATTTAGCGCTTAAAAGACCTCAATTTACAATGTCTTTTCTAAGCGCTAGTATAGGCGACTGAAATTATCCCGCATGCTCAAAGACTTTGGATACAAAAGGCACTTGAAATTCATTTTTTCCCATGTTAGTCGGGCGTGTTGGATTGCTGTTTACTAGCTGTTTGTCCACACACTGGTTTTACGTTTATCCTGAAGTTATTCGCTACTTATCTCGATGTAGGTTATTCATTGATGTTGTGTTTCGCATCCTTTTGGTTTCCGTTCCCATTATAATTAGTTATTTCGTTTGTTTCGAAAATTTTTACCACCAGGTCAGTTCATTCATTTCGTCGTAATTGTTCCATACGTTGTTTTTATGTCTTTTACAGTGCTTCAGTTATTTTTCAGCTGGTAATGAAATAATTCCATGTACACGTTTTCGAATTTATGCATATGGTCATGTTCGCGTGGCAGAAGCTGTTGTTTCTAGTTCGTTTGTTAGTTGCCGTCACTGTTGTTGGTTCAAATTCTTACTTGATATGTAGAAATCTAGAAAAAACAATATCTTTCAAGTTGATTTTGATAGCATACAACAATCAACGAGTTAGTCCGGTGAAGAAAGCACGATCGGAGTTGATATTAGTATGGTTTTCGAAGAACAGATTAGATTTAGAGAATCTGGAACCTGGGTTGAAGTTGAAAAAGCTTTGAATTTTCTCAAGAAGTGTATCTGTTATCAGTTAACAAGCACCCGATATTTTGTAAGAGGATTTAAATCAAAAAAGGATAAACCATATTTGAATTACAAATATGTTGTGTTTGTGTGTACTTTTTGAAACAAAAAGAAATCGGGAAGCAGTCACATCTGTCTTAAAGGGTAAGTTACCCACGTTTGTTAATGCTTAATGGAATAGACCTAAGTACATTGGTTGCTCATCTGTGATACTCATCCGATGTCAGTGCAGTGAACTTATTATTCCATCTGTATACATGATTCATAATCACTGTTGTACTTATGAATTTCGAGGATCCTTTCGGACAAAACATGAACTTCTCAGACAGTACATATCCAGTAGGACTCGCGAGGAATCAGTTAAAAGGTGAATTTTAGAACTAATCATAAATTTATTTACAGACTTTATACATACCTTAGCATCATATACCACCTAGATCCTCTTGTTGAGAGATATAAACACAGGTAGCGGTTACCTTCAAAGAAATTATGGGTAACAGCATTCAATCGTATTTCCAACGACGTGTTTCTCGTCGATGGATTCGCATATTAATATTGGTATGGCTCAAGGTGCATGTATTTGCGGACTGTTACCATCTGCAGGTTTCCTTGTCGTCGTTTAATGATTACTCATACAATCTTAAAAATTTTAATTGATGATTATGGACCCTATCTTTTGTCTCTTTTCCTTCCCACTAGGTCAGAGCACCTTAGAGGACATGGCAGGAGAGTTCAAAAGCCAAGGAGAAACCATATTGCTGTGAAGAACTGGTTCTCACACCGAGTCATAAGCTTCTGGAACCGACTCCCAGAAAAGGTGGTGTCTGCAACCTCAATTGATTCATTTAAGAAGGGTTCGGACAATCACAGAAATTTACTAGAAGAGGATTAACATAGGCTCCAAGCCTTCTATCCTCAACCAATAAATTTGAAAAACTCATCTCCATTATTAGTGACCAAAAACATTGAACAGTCGAGATTAAGCACACAGTGTCAGTGGAAATGGTGTAACAGAGAGTAGATTGAAAAAATGGAGCTGAGTAGATTAAGTTCTCATATGAACACAAATCATTTGATTAATAATACTACACACTAAAATCATGCATTAAGTGATACGCTGATACATATTAAACGAGCAATTACTTTCTCTACTGCACTTGTAGCAATCTTGTGAACCATCCATATGTTAGCCTGACAGTCAACTAAGCAGACTGTGGCACAACATTAACAAAGTTGGGATATTTTTATACACCTAATTCACATTACATTGTATCGGTCAGTGTGATTACACACTAAATCCACCTACAGATAACTTTTTGACTGACGATAGCCCCTCTCAAGACACACGAATAGTTAAAAATGCATTTACTTCATAACTTTTGTTCTCACACAAGGTTCTGTTAGCCTTCGTAGATAATTTCCATGTACTGATAGCAATTTTTTGTCAAATGGTACTGATCTTCACATGAAGGTAGGCTGTATTGGTATCCTGAGTCAAGTGAAGTCTTCATTGAATGACACGGCCAAAATGTGTAGTTTCTACGTGAAGTAGACTATTTGTATAGATGACATTACCCTCCTAGCATCGCATTCTTCTCATTTTAGCAATATTTCAACACAGTTCTCTTGAAACACAAATCATTGTAACCAGTATGCTGAGTGTCCTGCAGTCAGATCACATGTGGCAGATACCGACATGCGATGTCGGAAAATGAGAGTTCTCACCAATCCAGACAAGATATAACGCAATTTTATTGAAAATTATTCACAAAATATTTGCTAAGTGAAGTTTCCACCGACGTGCTGAAGAAGTCAAGCCGCCAGCATAGACCAGTTTGATTTCTTTGTACCGGCTTCCTTGTTGTGAGGTTAAAGCTCCTGGTCCTCGGTGAACTCCCGAATAGTTCGTACCACCGCTCGACTGTTGGAGCTTGGTTATCTCCAAAAGGAATGGTATTAGGACTAATTATATTTGATTTTTAGTATGCGGTTTGTTAAGATCTTGTCGCTACTGTGAGTGGAGTTGAACTTTTCACCCATTCATCATCCTTTATGGTCAATAAAAGAGTTAACGGTAATGGTAACAGATTTAATGAGTGTAGGTCATATGGATTTAAAAATAAAAAGGGGAAATGTAAAAGCAGACAGCTAATGAAATTTGGAATTGGTACATATATATTTACATGCATATATTTACGCAGATATATATCAACAGTCATAGTGTGAGGGACGTGACAGCTGGAGTAGTCAGGAGACTAACACAAGGGAGGATGTGAAGAAGTAAAAGGGCGAGTTTAGGTGTGCACTCGTTAACAGTGTGAGAGTTTTAAGGGGATAGGCCGAATGGATGCGGTCCTTGTGTCATTGCGTGACTGTCCAGCCTTTGCTTAAAGCTGCCCGCGGACGGCGCAGCAGCCACGTCTGCCAGCAGAGAGCTATAGGGGCGGCAAACGTGAAGTGAAAAGAAATGGGAGTGCACTCGGGTCTTTGCTCTCTGGTGAGCTATCTTCTTTGGATTCCCACGAGGAAACC